GTAAAGTCAAATGTCACTGACCTCTCACTAGAAAGTTTCCCTAATGCGTCTTACAGATTCCCTTTATTACCACTCGTGCCGAAGTCATTGCCTTCCTTGGCCGCAATTCAAAAATTCTCAACGACTTTGAAGAGCCTGTGCATATTATCATGGACAGGGTTTCGAGCAAGACTAACGACGCCTATGTCGAATTTCAGACCATGGCCGATGCCGTTTCTGCTGTCGATCGCTTCGTTCTGAACTTTAGCAAGGGAAAGGTAGGTCGCCTGGGAGACCGCCCGATCAGCGTTGAGCTGTCAAGCCAGAGTTCTCTCATGAAGGACCTGTTTCCTTTTGCTTCCGGACTTCGCTGGGAGGGCATTCATCCGTACATGACAGGCCGCCGCAAAGATGGTGCTCCCTATGGTCAGTTCACGGGCTTTGTGACAGAGGAGGAGATGATCATGCTCGTCAAGCATGTCGAGATGCCCAATAGAGTAAGTCAGGAGCAGTCCTTTGTTTGTGGTGCATCTCACTGACCAGATCCAGTCTCCCTTCGCCAAGGAATGCCCTCAGCGAGCGTTCGAGTGCCTCATCAGCACGCTGAAGAAGCTTCCTTGGGACTGCCACGACTTCATCACGGTGCGCCAGCGCGCGGCCATCCATCGAGCTACTGTGGAACTCGTGCGCATCTTGTTCTTTAAGGTCCGCAACCATGTCGACGAGGTGAATCTTACATCGCAGCTGCTGAAACGGCTGGTGCTCAGCGCCATGACCTGCGCGGGGTTTACCCCTCTTCAGAAGGATGACATTGCCTACATTGTCGAGATGGACTCCATGCAGTCACGATCGCACGGGCAACCTCGCTTTGCTGATTCTTGGTGCCATCTCTACGCACTGAGCCCGAAGCCTGACGTGCCGCTGGACATGCTCGAGGTAAGTCGTGTTTCGTTCTGGCAAGCACGGCTGGACAAGACAAGTGATTAACGAGTAACCAGTGGTACATTGCTCTTATTCGTGAGGAGACGAACCGCACCGTCGCCGCCCTCCCCATAGGCCACCGAGCTGAGCTGGAGCGCTTAGCTGGCTACACTGATGGATACTTTGGCTACATGTGGGCCGAAATCCAGCGTCCCTTCGGCGCTTTGACCGACCAGATGACTCTGGGCGCCTGCGCCCGTGCTGAGATTATGGCCATTGAGCAGATAATTCGCCGTGCACTTGACGGCTGATACCACTTGGGACCGCAGCCTCTCGGAAGCGCAGTTTGTTTCGGGTTCGCACGACAACCAGAAAGATTGGGCTGGGCATAGACAGAGGCAGCTTGTTGTGTGTGGCAGCCATGAAGAAGCAGATGACCGAGCCAGACGCATTAAAGACTATGCGAGGACGTGGTCTGTTTAGTTGGTCACTGTCGCTTTGCGTAGGCGGGAGTGGGTATGCATGAAGAATGGGATTGTCGATAGCTCAGCGTGAGCATCTTTGGGCTTGCGAGAACAGCAGCATAATGCCAAATCGGGAGGTCCGGACCAGGCGGCAGTTTGGATTACTCTGCCGTCGGAGATGAGCAAGACTTCCCGAAACAACAATGAGAATTTGGTTCATTTGACTTCGATGAAAGTGCTGGCAGGATTAACATGGTTCTGTGGCTAACTTCAACTGCACGAGGTTGAACTAAGGTCTGTGATGGCAAGTAGTGGAGTTGAGGCTGAAAGAGGCAAGAGCATTTCCTTATGTCAGCAGTTGGAGTTGTGTCCTTTCGGCCTTGCCTAGTCCCCTTCCCCCTCTTCCCCTTTTTTCGTTGGCCCCAACGCCCTGGTTCTGGTGGCAGAGCGCGGGCCGCTGAGTGTCGCCTGCCCAATCCAATCTGACAATGTTCTGCAGGAACGATGGGCGCTGGGCCGCTCGGAAGCTTCCGTCGCGTCACAGCGGGTCAGCGGGTCGGCAGGCAGCATGGCACTGGAGCCCGCACGAGGTCAACAGGGGGGGGGGGCGCTGCCCTAGCTGGCGTTCTGAAGCCCGGGAACATGGACCGGACTGATTCTGATCCTAACTCGATGTGGTAACAGTACACCCCATCCCCCCCCTGGACCCCTCCTGGCCCCCCTAATCCTCCACTGTTCTTCCATTCCCGTAGTCGCAACATTCATGCCACTACAGATGCACACGAATACCACAGGGAAAAGTAGTAAGGATCTTATTGCTTGAAAGCCCGCTGTCTTGACCTTTGGTTGATGACGCATGCGCCTGTTCAATGCAATGCGCTGCGACAAGGGACCATGTCACTAGGTGCTCCACCTTTCGACAAACGACGTAGGGAGCCTGCAAAGGATGGCAATCGGTCTGGAAGGCGTTTGTGAGAGTCGCAGTTGCTCCCGCAGGCGTCCATCTCGGCTCTTCTTGACATGGCCATGTTTGGCCGGGATCAGGCTACGATTCAACTCTCGCAGCCTGGTCTCGCATATGTCCTCCCAACCCCGTGCTTCTTACTGCTACACGCATAAGCAGTATTGGTGCGCATTGTTGTATTTGTCGTCCATTCTTGATCGCAAATAGCAGTCCTTGCCTCGCTTGCACAAGATAAAGGACAAGTGTGTGTTTTCAGCTCTTCTGGCGAACCTCATTACACAACCACATCAGTAAGACTATACAACAAGACAGACTCGACCTCAGGTCACACGAAGCCGACGCCATGTCCTTGCTCAGGAAGGCAAAGTCGACCTCACAGGCTGTGTCCTCGACTGACAACTCACCCCTCTCCCGCATGTATATCGGCATTCCCAGAGTTGTCTACGAAGTAGGCCACAGCGAGATGTAGGGTATTTCCTTCGCCAACGTCAATACCAGACAGCGCAACACTACAGCTAGCATCGTGCTCAAGAAGTTTCTTCGTGTCGCCGACGACAATGTTGACATGGCACTTGAGCACTTCACTCAAGCTCTGAAGTGGAGGAAGTTTAATGATCCATCCGGCAAGCTCACGAAGATGTTCGATCCCAAGAAGTTCGGCGAGATGGGATTTGTTTCTCGACACCGTACTGACGAGGGTGGCGGCCGGGTCGTCTTCATGTGGAATCTCTATGGTGTCATCAGGGACGTCCAAGCAACCTTTGGAGACATTGCCGAGTAAGTACTATCGTGTTCTGTACCTCGCGTCTTGCTTCAGGATTGTTCCATTGTCGCTGTGGATGTTTGTTGACTCCTTCCAGATTTCTCGACTTCCGGATTGCCCTCATGGAGCTGGCTGTCCGAGAGCTGGACCTTTCAAACGCACCAGCCCCAATGCCCGAAATCGGCCCAGACCCATATCGCATCATCCAAGTCCACGACTGTGCCGGGTCGAACCCATTTGCCGTGTACCCTAAGATCAAAGATGCGATCGCCGAGACAATCGACATCTTCCAGGCCAACTATCCTGAACTCCTGGCCTACCATCATTTCGTGCGACTGGGCCATGTCAACACGTTTCGCATCAAGTTGCTGAATACTTTGGTTCCTGAGCTTTTGCGTCCTAAGCTGCTCAGCCTTGGTAGAGTCGAGTTCAAATCCTCTCTCAAGCGTAAGGACGTTCTTCTTAAGCTATTCCCGGATCCAGCAGACCGTCAGCGTTACGGCTTCTCTCTTCCAACAGAGTTCGGCGGAAACACTAGCAGTGTGCATGATGGCCGAACTGTTCAGTTTCTCCTCACTGAAATCTCAAATGAGAACATCGCAGAAGAAGATGTTAAAAGCGTCAGGGTGATTGTACCACCTGCTCGCAAAGGGGCCCAGGCGAAGGCTAAGGAGCTGACTGCGCACACAGCCACTGCGGTGGCTTCTGACAGTCCTTAGGTTTGAGTTAAGGCCATGGACACGTGGTCTTTATTACGTCGCCGCTTCACAATTTGTGTTACCTCCTTTCTGCTGCTGCCATACTCGTGATTCAGAGCTTCGGCCGCTTCCGTACTCAAGCAAGCAGAGTAGATGGCGGTCTTCGACGCATGAAGTACATAGACAGTGTTACTCTAGGCAGGAAACATGAATCAGAATTTCTTCCTTGCATCCATGCTTGCGAGGTTTCAACGTGTCAAGACCAAGGGATCGCACGACGTGAAAGGATGGAATTTCTGTCTGGGTGGGATCGCGTGGCATCTCAAGGCAAGGTAGCAAGCAGTACATGGGTCTTTTGGCGCGAGAAAGATTGTTGTTTTTGTCGCGAGGAAAGCTGGGGTTAGGAGGCCGATGAGCGAAAGCCAGAGATTGGCCGACACGCAGCAGCATCAGTTCTAGCAGAGAGCACACCTGGAACGAGACTTGGAGGAACCTGGCAGCCTCGCCCTTCCAAGGCGGCAACCTTCTCAATGCCACCGCCGCTAAATGTTGGCGGCCACAGGCTGGCTTCATGTTGTCGCGTGATGGGTCAAGGATGAACAGGTCGAATTGACGTGCTGTGCACTCAAGTGCGACCTTGAATGGCACGCCGAGGGCTCACGAGGGCCTTTGTGTCCTCTGAGGATCATCAGAGGCTGGAAGTGCCAAGCCCAGGGTTGGGCGGCCGCCGTCGCGCCTCAGCTCGTCAGCCGTAGTGGAGAGAGGCGAGCGAAAGAGAACAAGGACACAGAACTGGTATGAGCCCAAAGACCGAGTCGGCGTCGTGTGGATAGCGCCCATTCTGAGCACGGCGTCGTACTCGGGGCGTTGAGGAGGTGGTATCTGACCAGGACGTCGGGCCTCGAAACTGCGGCCTTGAACTTGCGGGGCGCAAGGCAGCCAGAGGTGTGGCCTTGATGACCTGAACCTCCTCAAAGTCAGTCCCGCTGATCGTTCCTGCAGTGGACGCATCGCATGGGCCTTGCTTGCGCTGTCAACCTGTTGCCCTTGGATTTCGCACCTCTCGTTCCGAGCCTTATACTCATGTACTGGGCCGGCGTTACTTCAACGCCGTTCGCACATCCAATGACGGCACGCGCTCCTTAGCCTTAATACTGACGACAGTGTTGCCTTCCCTGGGGAGAGGAGGGGGAACGGCAGAGACAAGAAGCTGACGAGGTGCACGTGAATCGCGCGCTCATACTTACCTTGCCTGACCTACCAAACCCCATCCAGCCGCTCCGATCAATTTCCCATGCTTTCTCCTTCATCTCACACCTTACCCCCATTCCTCAGCACAAGAGCACACTCGCTCAGCTCAGCGCAGCGCAGCTCTGTTCGGCTTGGATTAGTGGCGTCCTTCCTTCGACGGCCCGGTCTCGACCACAGTACATGGTCCAAAGCCAGTAGCAAGACGATTCGACTTTGGACGCGCACACATTTCTTTAGCCGCGCTGCGCTTGGAAGATTGTGCAACGACAAAGGACAGCAACGACGGCAACTGCAAGGCCACAGCTGTGTGCGTACTCACGCTGGTGACAATCCCGTCTGTCCTCTGGAATCGCCCCCCGCCGCCGCCACCCCCCTGACCTGCCCGGCCTTAAGTAGTTTTCGTCAACAGGGGATTGATCACCTTGGAAGTTGCGGGCTCTCAAGGCGATACGACCACTGCTGCGGGGCTTTCCGTTCTCCGTCTCCTGAACGGACCTCCTGAACGGACCTACCCTTAGGGAGGAGTCCAGGACCGACCCTGGAGCTTGTGTTGGTTTGTTCCTTCCTTCCATCCTCCTCCCCTTCCCCCTCTGGCATTTCCCAGCACTTGGACCGCGCCTCCGCCTCCACTTGCACCTGCACCTGCCTCCACCTTCCCTGCCAGACGTTTTGGCAGGTAGGTAGGTACTTGGGTACATCGCCTCCAATTCCTCCTCCGCCACGCTGCGCTACTGTTACTACCTACCTTACTACTACTCCTCCTCCTCCTGCCATACACGCGCCGGCGTGCAGGCGACCGACCTTACTTTCCACACCTCCCTCTCTCCTCCCTCACATCTCTGTCACCATCAGCACGCAACCTTTCGCATTTCTCCTGCAGTACCAATCCTTCGTCGATCTCTTTCCTGCACTAGATCGAATCTCACATATCTTTCTCTCCTCTTGAGCTTGCGACCACACGTCTTTTCTCCTTTTCCATTTCGCGTCTTCTTTGACAGCCCCTCAACCCCCATTTGCCGAGCATAGCACTATTTACGCGTCGAAATCGTCTCACGAGGCGCGCCCAACTTCCCTGGCCTCCACCAACTCCACATAACGCGTCGGCTTGTAGCGTCGCGCGAATCGCCTCGCCATGTCTCTCTCGCCGTCGAGCCAGAGCAGCCTTGGCGCTGCGGCCCTCGGCCTCGAATCCTCCTCGCATGTCGCGTCTCTCAGCTCAACACCACCTACCAACTTCTCCGACAACATATCTATAACCTCCGAGGGCATCAAGGTCGAGACTACACCTGTACCCGAGATTCAAGCGACCGTCATTGTCGCCACGGAGCCTCAGCCTGAGGCCTCTGCCACACCCCATGACACGCCTCAGATTGACGCGCCATCGACCGCCCAAGAGCCCCCCGCAGCCGGGCGTGCTCGGAGGGCACGCGTCAGCAATCCCGTCTATAACCTCTCCCAATTGAGCGGCACCGCCGCAAAGGGAAATGGCCGCAGAAAGCGAGCCAGCCTCGGAGACGCTCTCTCTACCACGCCGCGCTCCTCTGACCCTCTCGTACGCGACGGCATTGACGCGCTGAATCTGCAATGGTCTATGCAAGGCCTCAAGACCCCTGGCAAGTTGGCTCAGGAGAAGCCCGGCACTCCTCGCACGACTCGAGCCTCAGCGCGCGACGCCCCGGCCAAGGTCGATGTCCTTACATCCAAAGCGACCTCTCTCGGCAAGCGCGGGCGCAAGGCCTTTGAACAGGGCATTGGCAAGGTCTCCAGAGAACTTCTCCGCCTCAGAGATACGAACGAGTTTGCCAAAGTAGAAACGAAGCCTGTTTTCCACACCATTTGGGCCAATGGCAAGCTGGTTACTCCCGAAGAGCTTGAAAATGGCCCTGCCCGGAAGAAGGCTAAGACGAAGGCGCCCTCGGAAGTAGAGAAGGCCAAGGTGGACGAGACAAAGAAGGACGGCGAAAAGAGTGAGGAGACGCTAGAGCTTCATACGCGCAAGGGACGGCGTGTCAAGCGCTGGCTCGCCAAGGGCCTGTATGCTGGTCAGGACACGCCGCTTGACCTGAACGAGGGTCTGGGCCTCGCGGAGAAGAAGAAACTCGCACAAATCCCGGAGCTGGCCGCGTCTGGGCGCGTGAACAAGGCACTGCCTTTGCCCATGTTCAATGGACTGAGGACGTTGATCAACGGCCGAGACTTCAAGCTTCCGTTTGACGTTTGCAACCCTTTGCCCCCGGGCCAGCCGAAGCCCGAGCACTGGACAAGATCTTCCAAGAGTATGTATTGCGCGCTCCTGTTCACGGCACGCATCACTGACACGTTCGCAGATCGCTTTGTGGAGATTCTAGTCTATACTG